ATACAGTATCTTTATTAAATCTCCACTATGTGGCTCTTCTGATTTAATTTACAAATTTAGAAAAGGAAAAAAAGAGACTAATTTACAAATCTTAAATTATTAATGATAAATGGAAAAAAATATAATACAAAATAGCTACGATAATTTATCGTATATACTATATACATATACTGATTATTGACTGATAAATACTCTAATGACATGTAAAAACTGTTGTAGTCATGCAGTCAGTCACCAAGTTCTCGGTGTGACATAGCATTTTACTATTTCTTGTGCTTGCGCTTAGCGACTTCCAAGTGTTGATAGATCGATAGTGAAAGGAACGTCGTGCAGTGGCTGTTCTGCACATAGGAACGCCTAAGTTTTCCCTGAATGGGGTATTATAACTATAGATTACTGTTGTAACTGGCTAGTTAGCACATTTAGCCTCGATCTCATTTGATAATTTTTCTCGGCCGGGAACTGATATCTACTTTGTGCCTCGCTCGTTGACTACAGGTGAAACATTGGCGAGTTTTTGTTCACTAAGGGTTGGTTTATTATTTTTTACTCTCAGTTATTGATGTTCCATTTATTTCAGTTCCCTTCATAGAAAATGCTCTTCTAAGATAATCAGATATCCTGGTATTATGTCAACAACGTGTTCGGCACGCTGTATTTTAGATAAGCCACATCAGCTTATAACTGAGGGTTAATATTAACCTGTGCAATGCCAATCTGGTTTGTATTATTTTGTGTTTTTAATTTATCTTGCAAGCAGATCAGGTTTCTTGTCATTCATTTTCTGCATTGCGTTTTGATTGTAGTTTGTGAAATAATCAAAAATCAAAAAAATGTGGAAACATTTACTTCCCCTCCCCTTTGCCTTATCACCCCTCCCTGTCGAACGCACTCCCCTAATTTGCATTTATTTATTTATCTATTTATTTATTTATTTACGTACAAGACTTTTACAAATCTTAAACAGAAACAGTGGCGAGAGTTTACGTGTGCCTTGGCTAAATCTTACGACATTAATTCTTTCAATCCACCCCGAGTGCTGCGCTGCACGTAATGTTGTGACAATAGTCTTAGCGGAAGTTGCGACTGTTTAACACCCCTCTCGACGTTGTTGCAAGATCTTGGGAAGAGTTTAAACCCGTTTGAATTTCGTCATAACCGGAGATCAGGCCGAATTTTGGCTGCTCTTTTGTGGTCCCTGGCATTTTTTTTTAACCCAGCAAAACGAAAATAGTCTGAACTCAACTTAACTTTGTCACAAAATCACCGTAACATTTTTTTGTCTCGAAATGTTGAACCCGTTAGATGTGAAGCATCTTTCTTAACTATTGTTCAACTCGTCCATGCGCAATGTACCTAATAAACATGTCTTTTCGATAAACTCGATTATTTATTCGAAAGAGATGTGAGAAAATTTTGACTGTTTAGTAGCAACATGGTCATTAATCATTCTAACAATACTCATTGTTGTTGTTGTTGTTGTTTTTTTTTTTACAGAAACTGCATCGAAAAGATCTCTCACTGTTCCACCAGAAGTCATCATTAATCAGCTTAAGAAGCAGGATCTTCCCAAAAGTGTGACACCTTTTGATGATTGCCAACTGCCAGTCGACATTTTGTTGCTGACGGTCGAGGATTGTGAATTTCTAAGCTGTCTGTCGTATCTGAATCCTGGTTTCGTTAAAACTTTTCACGACGATCTTACCATTGTGTACCTCGGAGATATGGGAAAAGATGAAAGGAAGTTGAACATTGCTGTAATGAGCTGCCACAGGGGTGCCGTCACTCCAGGAGGATCCGTGGTTGTTGTATTAAAAGCTGTCAACGTCTTAAGGCCCAAAGCAGTGTTCTGTGTAGGTTCCTGTAGGAGCTTAGGCTACGACAAAGTTAAACTTGGAGACATAGTAATGTTTGAGAAGTTAATCACATCTGGCCCGTGCAGAATCACGGAGGGTGGCATTGAAGAACGCGGTGTGAAAGTCCCACTTAAGTCCCGTCTTTTGAAGGTGATACCAAGGGCTGGTGATGGCTGGAAGCCGCCTTTAAAAGATCCAAAAGCAGCCGAGGTCAAGATACACCGTGGCACGATTCTGAGTGGGCCCATAGAAGTAATTGATAGCCCCAAGCATTGTAAGGCACTCATCGATCGATTCCCAGAAGCAGTTGCTATGGACGAAGAGGGTGAAGGTGAGTTTTTGGCAATAGTGAACTTTAATGACCTTGGCCAGTAGACCACAGTGGGCAGGATGACTCCAAGTCAGTGAATTGAAATAAATGCCCAAATCCTTTAAATTCCTTGTTAGCAGAATACCTTTTAGTGAATTATTCTATGAATAGATTAATTAAATGGAAACTACGGGATCGTTCAGACAGGATCACTATTTATTTTTTTATTGCATGCTCAGTTCATCGGCCTGTGCTTATCGATGCCTTGCCCTTACAATCAAGCCAGTTAAATTACGAATTGTCAAATTTTGTTTTAACTATCTCTCACAATCCTTTCCAGCTGCCCTTTCTTGGCCTTTCTTACATTTTCTGTGTTTCAGTCATAATTACTTCACTTCTTCATGTATGACTAATCTTTACTCTAGGCGTGTTTGCTGCAGCTCACGACCTCGGCATTGAGTGGATCGTCATTAAAGGGATTTCGGATTATGCGGGTGGCAGCAAATCTAAGGAGTCGTCTTGGAGGCCATTTGCAAGTTTAATGGCAGCTTCTGTTACGGCTCATATTCTCAGCGATGCCATTATTTTTGAAGACTGGCCTCACTTTAAGAGCAAAAGTAAGTACTGAACAGTTAGAAAGCGTCCATTACTTACCAATGCCTGTTTCTTCTTTTGCTCTTTTTTATCCTCTTATTTCTAGCCACTGTAAATCCTAATTTTTGCAATTGCAAACTGTCGATAAAAAGTTGAACAATCCACTTGCAAATCAGTACACTCGTGAATCAAGGTATCTGTCTGTGGTACATTAAGTTAATGTTGTGGTTCCGTACGTAAAATGTCTACATCTGGAATCCATCCCACTCTGTATTGCCAATGGTATTCAATAGTTTTAACTGAGTGGCCATAGTTTCACTTCCTGAAATTTTTAGCCGGTTTGTGATACCCGGCTTGAAATTTCAGCCCCGACTAGTACACTCTTTTACACGGGCACCTGCGTTTAAAACTACTGTAGCTAAAATACTGATAGCTCCGACTCACTGAAACTTTCTTTATGTAATCGAAATCGTCTTTATAAAAGGATTTGTCCCGGAAGCCGAGCCAAAATGTGAGCCAGGCAAACCAGGATGCATTTTTTTATGTACTCGGCACCTTAAGGTGTAATTGACTTGACAAAACCGTTGATATTTTCCTTTACGAAATGTAGGTGTTGAGAAATCACGTATGAAGAGGGACGCCCAGATACCTTGGGGTAAATATAAAGACAATAAATTTGTTGTCATTTCTCTGATTCGTTGTTACTTTTTAAAAGCCTGTTAAATAATCTCATTTGTGGGTACAGGCTGTAGTGTAACTGACATGTAATACTCAAAGTGCTAGAGATGACCTACAAACCCCATTGGGCGTTATTCCTAATAAGTAGAGGCAAGTAATCACGCGAGGTCAAGAAAAGAAAACTTGAACCTCCGTGGGAATCAAGCCCGCTCAGGTTTAAAGATGCTTGTATTTGTCTCGCGTTGATCCCTGATTCCTTTTACTAGGGCGAATGCTCGATTAAGGGTTTGTGGCCATCTCTGGCAATTCCACTTTCTTTTCAGAGTTTAATTCTTTATTCTATAATGAAGTGGTACATCCTCTATACAATACAGCGATTTCAATTAAAGTTGTCGGAAGTAAAAAGACTGTAGGGTCATTTGCATGTAATACGCAGCCGTAAATCCCTTAAAAATTTGGTGATAACTTCACGGTTGTCAGTACCATAGAATGATATAAAAACCTCACAAACGCTTGCCTTTGTCGTTTTATGACAAAAGTGTCGTGCTTGGTGGCTGACTTTTGGAATTTTTTAAATGAAATTTCCTTTGCTTCGTCTCGTCGCTTAGGCTTTCCAAAACTATCCATCGGTAGTGGCGGTCGTATAAAATTGTAAATTGGGATTTTTTTGCCACAAAGCACTTTGACGTTGTGAAAAACTTGTGCAAACGTGCCCATGCTTTCCACATTGAATGTTGAGTGTCGGTTTTTAAGGAGAGGGGAAAATCGGGAAAACGGCAGAAGGAATACGTCTTGGAGCAAGGGAGAGAGCCACTCACATATCGCTTCGACGCCAGGATTTGAAGCCCGGGCCACAGCACTGGGGGGCGATTGCTCTCACCACTGCGTCACCCTTTGCTTCCCCGGTCGTTTTTTCACTGTTGCCGTATTGACATTTTGTGTTGATGTCTATTAAAAGTGAACTTACTGAATGGGCGTTTTCATTTTTCTTCATTCAGTTTCATGAAGAGAAAGTCAAGCAAAAAAAAAGAAAACATATTGGAGCAATGCTTTGTGTTTTTCTCTCCTCTTTAAAGTCTCAACAACTTGTTTTGTTGTATTATTATCTTCGTCATTATTATTATTATTATTATTATTATTATTATTATTATTATTATTATTATTATTATTATTATTATAATCTTTATTACAAAACCTCAATTAAAATCCTATTTACAATCAACCTGCTGTTACAAAAAATCTAATTAATTCATCAAAACACTATCTACAATTCCATCCGTTACAAAAGAAACCCCTCGACCTTCGAGTTATTATTATTATTATTATTATTATTATTATTATTATTACATAAGCAAGCGAATATTAACGTTAAAAGCCGACGTATCGGCATCATCATGACACTATTCTCAAGGCAAAATGAATAAGTAATGCGAAGATTTGATTTCTATAGTCTCTACAAATTAGCATAATAACAAAGGATCACAAGTTCTTCAAGTCAATACCTTTGCGCGAATCGAGTCCGCCTGCACGTTTAGGGATGGTTTGAGTTTTCTTATAAAGAGCATCTCCTTAATTAGGCAATCAAATTTGTTAGAACCTTTAGTGAGCACGTGAAATTGTTCTGAAAGAAAAGGTGGTACGTCCGAGTTATGTTCGTTAAGATAATTAGATTATTATTATTATTATTATTATTATTATTATTATTATTGTTATTGTTATTATTTTCACTGTGATATGTAAACGTTACAACGAGTTGGTTTACAGCATGTAGGTTATATGTACCAGGTCAGTAAAATATTATATTTTTTTCTATTTTTTCTTTTCTCCATAAGGGAGGTGGTTTGGTGAAACGAATATCAAGGTAGTGATTGCTGGACTGGTGTGTCTGATTGCAGTTGTGTTGTTCTTCTATTTTGGTTCCAACTAAAAGGTATTGACTCCAGTCAATAACCCAACCAGCCTGTAATCAGCAGAATGTAAGCCAATAGGTAAGTGTACTGAAATGACAACCAATGAAATAAAGTACTTATATCACGTGAATAGACTACGAGTAGCCCCTCATTTTCCACAGGGATAGTTGAGCAAGTGAAAGAAGTAAACGCGAGTGAAAATCGTCTCCCATGGGGGATTTTCAGGCACGCTAGTGTATATCACACGCTCAACGGTCCTTGAGGAAATTGAGGGGCTATTTGTAGTCTATCTCGCGAACATTAACATAAGACAACTTAGGACCTGTTCTTATGAGGTCTCAGTTAACCAAGATCTTGAGCTCAAATTTTTCCGTTGTATGAGTACGTACTTGAGCCTCGCATGGTTCTCTCTTTAGTGAATATTTCACAAGCAATGGATAATCCTTTCGCTCCTTTATTTACCGAAAAACGCGTTTTGAAGCTAGTCGAGCCGTTTCCTGGTCAATTTTGGACTATAAACAGCCAAAAACGAGGTCAAGGTCAAGCACTTGGCGGCCTTCTACTGCAGATGCAAAATATCAGCTTTTAAAGTTGGGGCATGCGCAGAATGAAAAATCTCGTGACACAGCAGTCTCGACGTTTACCTTTCGTTTGTCTCTTCCCCCTTTTTTTTTGCAATTTTTTTTTTTTAACCGGCAAAAGACCATTTTACAGTTGTGGACTTAGTGCCCTAGCCTTCGAGTGAATGTGAGGCTGAGGTTGACGTTGTTTTGATACAAATCTCCTTTGCTTTGTTATGGAAATTGTTTTTGAAAAATACTAGTTAGCATAAGAACAACTTGATTTACATAATAAAGCAGGAAGGTTTGTATTATATCAAAACAAGGTCACCTCCAGCCTTGCTTCCATCCACAACTGTAAAATGGCCTATTTACTCACTTCATATCGGTGAGCAACGTTTTTGCTACAGCTTGTGGGATCTTAGGATTAGATGGAAGGAAGTACAGGTGTGTAGTGGAATAAGGCTGTCATCGGAATTTTCCGGTCAACCTTACATGGCTTTTACCTTTTAACTGAATCGAATCGCACTCATTCTCGCATTCTTTAAGAGATCTTTTCTCCTTGCACAAGTTAGATCAGAGTTATCCTTGGCCGCTCCGATGGTTATGGGCGGGTCAGGGTCGAGTGGGTTTAAGACGTTCAGAACTGCAGCAAGGCAAATGACGACGTTTTATACTTTCGTGCAGACTATCACGTAAACAATTTCCTGAAATTTCTCACATGAACACAAAACCGAGCTAGCGCGGTTAAATGAGCCAGCCTGCTTAACCGGACCCATATAAACAGGCGCATACTTAGGTTTAAGCTCCCAGTGCGATTCAAATACGTGGAGAGTAGACTCCTCCGTTTCCCAAACGCTCTTTTGGCTTTTGACCCAACGAACCTCCCTGGCGAACGTCTGCTGAAACGAGCGGCGTTCATGTAGACCAGTCAGAGCTCACTTCCAGTTCCTAGAGATGAAATTTGGTCCTTCAAAAATATTGCGTGGGAGAATAGCTACAAAACGACGATACCTTTCTAAACGGGGCATTTTAGCTAACTTGGTTGTATGTAATTTGACAAAATGGCCAAACTAAATCAGTTCTGTAACATACCCACGTAAATATTATAACGACCGCGAAAAAACAAACAAACAAGAAACAACAACAACGAAAAACCCAAGAACTATCGGATAATATGAGGAAGTCAGTTAGTAAACTAAAGACAAAAGAATTTATATGTATAAAAGGAAGTTACAAGGACGATCACGACTACGTGCAAACTTCCACTAAGTTTTTCTATAACTCAAAACAGAAAAACCCCAAGAATGAGTGCACATTGAGGAACGGGTGCATCATCAGGTGTCCAAACGATCTCACACGCTGATTTCAACACACGTCTTGCATTTGAATATCCTGATGAATCAGGAATTCTCTAGAGTGTTACATGCATATTTTGTCGTACCTTCAATATACCAGTTCCCATATGTTTAAATTTTTACTTGGCCCTAAGGCTTGGAGGAATAAAACAGAAGAAAGCTATTTTTCTACTGTCCCTCAAATTATTGCGGCTTGTTTTATTCCTCCAAAACTCTCGGGATCAAGAATATTGTTTTTCTGCTGTGGAATGATGATTTATTCCTCTTTTTTAATCATACTTCTTTATATTTACGTATTTTAAAACCTCTCTACAAACCGCTGTTTTGTTTAATTCCTTAGCACGGTGGCAGATGGTGAATGAGGTGACGACGTCATTCTTCATGATGCAACAAACTGCTTTTATTCATGCTTTCGCCTTGCATCTTTAGAGAACTAGGGGCAGCTTAGAACGAAGGGAGATCCAATAAGCTAAAAGAAACCAGATTGAATCTCGTAGAAGACGGCTACACAGCTTAAAAGTTTCTCCA